ACGACGATAAACAGTCGATGAACCTCCAATAGCAATTAGATTGATCATTTCATCCGCCATAGGTTACAGCTTTGGCTTCAGGAGAGGGCGTCATGACTTCACCAACATTAGCATTTTGAAGATGACCGCACTAGGAGAAGCTAGAACCTTCTTGTTGAACACGACATCGTTCCTAGTCTTTCAAATTGTCCACGGCGCACCTGCACAAATGATAAGAATTCATGTTTTTCCCTTGTGACCTTCCACGATGTCGGAGGAGAGTGATGGCATTGGCTCACGCCACCATCCAATCTCTCCCTCCAGGAAAGACCAAAGAAAGATAGAAAGGGGGCACTGGAACATGAGGTGGTCAGACGTTTCTACTTTGCCACAAACAAAACACTCCTTAGGCCCTGACCATTTCTTTCGTTTTAGTTGCATCCCAGATTGTATTCTATCATGAGTTGCCATCTAAAAGAAGATTTTCACTTTCAGTGGTATATTGCATTTCCAAATCAGTAACATTCTAGTATTAATAACACCTCCAGTAGTCAATTCTTTGTATAGAGACCTCGTTGAGTATATTCTAGATTTTTCTAGAGCCCATCTGACTTCATCATGACCTTTTGTCAGTGTTACCTCACTTAAAAGTTCTACCAATTGACCCCATTCCTCTCTTAACTCACCAAACATAGATCTTCTGAAGGATAGGTCCCACTACCCATCAACAAAATCCTTAGCAACTTATATTTTAGGGTGACAGACAATTTGAAATAGTTTATGAAAATAATCTTCAGAGGGGTAATCAAACAAAATCTTATTTGATTGAACTCTCATTTATCTCTACCTTTTTATACCCTCATCTAGCAGGTGGCCCTCCAGGAGCCTCCTTGAATTTGGAAGATACTTTTCTGACCCAAGTACTTCTTCTCAAAAGAGCACAAGTGCACAACACAAACTTTCATCACCTCTCTCTAACTTGTCAATCCACTTGCCCAACAAACAGTTATTCATAACTCTAACATCTAGGAAGCCTGAACCACCAAATTATTTGGGTCTATTTAGAACTTTCCATCTAATCATGTGGTACTTTCTCTTCTTACTGGTACCTTGCCAGAAAAATCTTGATCTAATTATGTCTAATGCTTGAAAGTTACCCTCATATAACTGGTACACACCCATAGTGTACATTGGCACACTAGATAAGCAGCTATCTATAAGGATTGATTTACCTCGGATGATGACAAAACTTTTATCACCAACATACCTCAAGTGAGCTTTTGAAATCTTACAATCACTGACAGGCATGCCCAAATATTTCATTGGAAAGGCTCCCAGTTTGCAACTAAGAGAAGCTGCCACTGTCTGTTGTTCTGCCTCTGTCAATCCCACAGTAAACACTTCACTCTTATCAAAGTTGATTTTGATGCCTGACATAGCCTCATAGCAAGAAGGATTAATCTAACATTTCTCAGGTTGTCAGTATTGAACTTTAGCAGGAGTACAGTATCATCAGCATACTGTAAATGGGTAAGACCTCTATCAACTAGATTTGGGACTAGTCCCTGAATAATACTAGCATTTTTAGCTCTAGACAGCATGGTAGATAGGGCATCAGCCACCAAATTAAACAACAAAGGAGACAATGGGTCTCCCTGTCTGAGCCCCTTAAAGCTTCTAAAAAATTCTCCTCTCCCACCATTTATGTCTATACAAACCATTCCTCTGCCGACATAAATGGTTTGTATAGACATAATCCACTGTTTCCAAATATCATCAAAACCTTTTCTTTGAAATACTTTCTCAAGAAAATCCCAGTTACTCTATCATAGGCCTTCTCAAAATCTAGTTTTAAAATGACTCCGGAGCTTTTAGAAACTCTCAATTCATGTAGAACTTCTTAAAGAATCACCACACCTTCTAAGATATTCCTGCCAGGAATAAATATAGTCTAAAAGGGACTAATGACTTTTCCTACCACAGTAGTCAACCTCATTGTTAGTGTTTTTGTGATAATCTTGTATATGACATTAAGTAGGCATATGGGTCTAAACTGCTTGATGTTCAAGGCTGGTTTGACTTTGGGCAGTAAGATCACCACTCCATAGTTAAGTCTCCATAGCTCCAGACTTCCTTCATAAAGCTTATCTAACATCTCTTTGATATCATCTCTGATTAGAGGCTAAAAAGCTTTAAAGAACTCAACATAGAATCCATCAGGACCAGGAGCTGTGTTATTTTTCATATCCTTCATGGTTAAGTCTAACTCCTGTGGGGAAAATGGTCTAGGAAGAAACTCATTGTTTCTAGACTGATCATCTGATCATCAGACCATAAATCTGGGTCTAAGTGCATATCTGCCACCTCTGTTGAACCAAAGAGCTGTTTTATAGTAGTTAGTGATATGTTCTCTCAGCTCATGAGGATCCACCACAGGTTGATCATCTACCTCAAGCATTGTAATATGCATTTTCTTCTTTCTGCCAGTTGCACACTTATGAAAATAACTTGTGTTTGAGTCACCAACAATAAGCCATTTCTCTCCATCTCTTCTTTGCCATTGTGGTTCCTCATCTGTGAGAATTTATTGAACAGTCCTTTCTAAAGAATATATCTCATCCCATTCCTCTTGGGATATATCTCTAAAGTCACTCTATTCATCTAGGATAGAAATTCTCTTCAGGGATTCCTAGGACAGAAATGAAGTCTTAATTATATCCTCTTTATCAACTTCGCTAGGAAACTTACAAGTTATGTTTGGGGGAGGCGGGTATTGAACCAACCTCATAGAATTCACATATTAGCAACATCATGCAAGGCATCTGTGGCCTCCCTAGCCTTTTTTTAAATTGATCCTCACCGCCCTATCAACTTTTTACTATAGCATGGTTACTAAAGCCAACGGTGATTTCAACTTATCACTTTTGGTTGCAAACCAACGGTTATAAACTCGATTATCTCCATCGAGGGTGAAAACCAATGACGTTGCGACCTTGCATCCCATTTGTGATGAAGGTTCCAGAGTAGTGCTAGTTGTTGACAGTAGGTATCATGTTGCTTTTGTGTTTACTAGTAGGCAAGGACTAGACTCGTATCAAACCTTATATTTCACTTACAATAGGTTCAAAAGATTTTATGCCAAAGCACTTAGTCGCTGATGGGATCCTAGGCACTTACATATTGCAAACCCTTACCCCATAGATCAAAACACAATTATTATATATATTGAACACCATTACATTAATTATTTTCTCTCCATTAACGATAGACCATAAGAAAGATTATAGATGACCCTCCATGGTCCCTGTTTGAGGCTGTGGCAATGGTGGGCACACAGGGTTGCATGCAGGGCACATAACCTTACAATCAGCCATTGAAAAGTAGCAACGAATTGGCGTTTTGTTCATACAACAATAGCAGTCAACCTCCCCACATATATATCTAATACATAATTTGACTGTAAATTTTGTCTCAGGTACCAATGTGTTCCTCAACACAAAAGCTTTAATGTTTTGTTGGTAGGACTATTTTGGTAGGTTTTTTTATCTCCAACCTTAGAGAGTGCTGGACTACCTATTGGACAAAAAATTATAAGTAAAGCCGGAGATAATATACACACATATAAAAGTTGACCAAAGACAAGATGGTGATGTAAACTTACAATGGAAAGGAAGGCACCTAAAAATAACAAAGGACAATATTATCCTCACATACAAAAGTTTGCCAGAATAGCTCTTCATGTTGTTTCTCAATGTTTTTCTCAATCGAGCTAACCTTATGTTGCAGGGTTATAGTTGTACTTTTGAAGAAAATAATGTGCTCTAAACCGCCGTGGTTTCCAAGAACTCTAATATATTTAAAGGCAAGTTCTCCATGTGAGACATTTTGAGACATTTTGAATATATAATGGATGTTTTATAGTTGTATTTCACAGTTTCAGTGAATTGAACAATTATGAATGTATCCCATGTTCTCCAATAACAACAAAAAGGGCAGACCCAGTGCCGGAGGCTCCCACATGAGTGGGGTCTGGGGAAGGGAATCGCAAGTAATAAGTAGCCTCAAATAGATTTCATAATTCTATATTTTAGTTTAAGGATTTCCAAAATTCTTAATACAATCCAAGTTTTCTATTAAGGATGTTTGGCGGTAACTAACCTTTGCCAAATTTATGCACCGGAATTCAGGATTCGTTACCTGACTGCTTTTAGTTATTGGCACATACAACAAGGTAGCAATCAATTGTTTTGGAGAAGACTTTTGGATGACTTCTCATATCTTCTACTCACTAGTAGAAATATGAACATACATGACGAACAACTTTCGTCAGGGTAGAAGCGCTACCGGTCATAAAGAACTTTTTAATGACAAAATTCGTGATGAAATTCCGTTTAAAAAAATGGAGCATCACATTGGTTGTGCTCTGACGAACCCGAGCTTTTGGCCTAAGAACTTCTAGGAGAGACTTCACACTACTGGAAACTCGAATACTCCTGTGGGTGATGAATTTTTCTGTGCGTTTTTCTCAGTACACACAGAAAAAGTAGTCATTAATGTGTCGGTTTCAAAAATCCCGACAGAAAAATACAAAAACTCACAGGAAAATTCAATTATTTTTCTGTGCGTGACAATACACACAGAAAAATTATAATTATTTTGTCGGTTTTGTTGGAACACACAGAGAAAATAGCAATTATCCTGTCGGTCATATATTACGCACAGAAAAATTTAATCGCACACACCAGATTTAGGGTTGGCGCCGCCTCAGCTACTTTTAGCCCGGTGAATAGCAAATGCATTATATAAAAAAAACAAAAAAATCCTAAACCTGAACCCACGCACAGAACCACCCGCCGCCTCTTTTCATTCTCACCAGCATGCCACCAGGCTATGGGCAGCCTCTCCCGTTGCCCCAGCCCTAGCCCCACCGCCCCTCCCGTGCGCCGCCCCAGATCTGCCTCTTCGTGGCCGACCCTCTCGGCACGGCCCCTCCCGTGGCGCCGCCCCAGGTTCACCTCTCTATGGCTGGCCCTCTCGGCGCGGCCCCTCCTGTGCGTCGCCGGCCGCCACCCCAGCCCACCGACGGACATCGCCCCTTCCAGCACGGCCCCTCCCGTGCGCTTCCCCAGGCCCGCTACCGGTCGAGGCCTATGCCAGATCTGCTGGCGATGCACCTGCACGTGACCTCCCTGCGCCAGATCCCGGTGGTCTACATGCGGTCTCTAGGGAGCGGCCCGTCCTGGCGCCGCCAGGTATGCTTGTTGCTTCTGTTCCCTTCCTTCGTGCAAAATTGAGCACGAACCCCAATTTAAGCTATTTGGTTATCTGTATTCGGAATGGATCTGATCTAACCCCAAGTGTAAGGTGATGTACTTTAATCCTCTACTCTAGTGTAAAAGATGATGTGTTATTCCTGATTTAGCTTACTAGTAAAGTAATATATTATAAAAATTGCTTTACTCAATCCGTTCAATTATGACTATCTATGCTTAATAGATGTCCTAGAATATGACTATTTATGATTAAATATGAGTTGCTGTCCCGCATGCCTTTCTGGATAATCTAGAATTGATGTGTAGCTTGACCAGAAAAAGATTAATGCCTTTCTGAATAATCTGGAGTTCTTGTGTTAAGTGAAACAAAATAGCTAAAATTAATGAACAAGTCAGCATTGATGGTTTGACTCTCTGGACATATTAGTATTTGAGATTATTTCTCCTTTTTGTTATGCTGTGTAACCCAAGACTTTTTGGGGCTTATTTCTGCTCATATTCTCAGTCTCCGTGCTATGCTCCGCCACTGCTACATGTTGTTTGAGGCTCCGTCTTTTCTCTATGAGTTGCTGGTAAGTGGTGCTTTCACAATAACATGTTTAACTTGCTCTCTTTGTTGCATGTGTGGCATTTGAGAATAGGTTGATGCCAACATTTTAAAGCATGGTTTGGTCAGCCTAGGAATCATGATCCAAGTTGATTTGGCTAACTGAATTGCAAAACTATGTTCAATTGTGGTTGTGAAAATGTAGAATTCACTAGTTTATCATGAATGGGGTTTTTGGAGCCTTGCTTTGCTGGGTGAGCTGGGATTTCTGATGCTTTTTGCAGTTGCCTGTGCGGGCTGGAGCAGGAGTCAGGCTTCTACTTCAACATGAAGCACTTCGAGGACCTCGTGCAGGGCGGCGAGTGGGACGAGGTGGAGAGGTACCTCAGTGGCTTTACCAAGGTGGAGGACAACCGCTACTCCATGAAGATCTTCTTTGAGATCCACAAGCAGAAGTACCTCAAGGCCCTTGCTAGGTGACCGACTCATCACTACGCTACTCTTGGTCCGTTGTCGTTGTCAAGGTTGTTTTTTTTGCTGAATTTGTTGTCGGTGTCACAGGCATGATAGGGCCAAGGCTGTGGAGATTCTTGTGAAGGATCTGAAGGTGTTCGCCTCCTTCAATGAGGAGCTGTTCAAGGAGATAACACGATTCTTGACCTTGGAGAATTTTAGGTACGGTTACTTTCCTTTCGAAGCAAAATGTTTAGTGCATTGGACCGATGCATCTAGATGTGATTGTGTATTGATGATCAACAGCAAAATGAGCAATTTGTCCAAGTATGGGGACACAAAGTCAGCCCGGAATATCATGCTTTTGGAGCTCAAAAAGCTCATTGAAGCAAACCCCTGTTTCGGGACAAGTTTGAATGTCCCACCATTCAAAGCTTCGAGCTTAGCACATTGATCAATCAAAGGTGTTGATTGTTTAGTTTTGATATGTTTAGTCACACATATTGATTTTGATGGTTTAATTTTGATATGTTTAATAACACATATTGACTTCCTTAAAATATCGGGAATGCAATTTGTGAGCAGAAATTCTATGGTGTTCTTTGGTATCAATTCAATTAGATTGTATGGTAGAATTTAATTTTTATGTGCACAAATCGATATAACTCAAATAGTTCAATCAATGTAATCGCTACTTGTGTAGGTTTACTATTTTTGTTCTTTATCTTCTTTTTGGTTATTCGATGCCAAATGATGTGTTTCTTTGACTTCCTTAGTATTTATGGATGGATAAGGTGACAGTTAAATGTAGTCAATGCTTCCTTTGTTCATTTGACTTGTTGGAATTTTATTGCTCCTAGTTGTCCAAAGCACTACATAATCTTCTTGATATGGTTCTTTTGGGATTGTTTTCATGTGATTTGGACATCTCTACCTGTTTATCCCAAGTAACCAGACTTTTTATCGACAATGTGCAAAGAAATTTTATCACTTTATAGCGGCTCTAGCTTTAGATGCTTATGTTATAGCAGATACCATCCTTTTTTCCTTATTGTAAGGTCGTATCCATACATGCAAAGCAATTGGGATTTCTCTACTTGTTATGCCTACAAGTCTAAGTGCTCTGAAGCACATTTTGTGCATGTAAAAGGTGAGGCTAACTAGGCTTTATTTCTTTCTTTCTAATGCCTTTCGATCGAATCGGCAACATCAGCTCTGCAAGAACCCTAGACCAAACCCTGACATCAAGACTCTTTACTGATCACTCTTGTGCTGCTCCTACCAATGGAGCAAGAGCACCTCCACCTACCAATGGTCCGCTTGTTGGATCCATCCCTAAGTCAGCTGGATTTCCACCAATGGGTGCTCATGCTGTAAGTATTATCACAAGCAGGACATTTAACTTATTCTGACTATTGATTGCTTATACTGGTTCAATGTTGCATCCATTTCAACCTGTGGTGTTGAGTTGTATAGCACATTGCAGTGGTGAGGAAGTGTCCTCATGTTGATTGTTGTATAGCTACTGCAGTGAATTTTCATGGCTATTGCAGTGAGGAAGTGGCCTTATGGTTGGTTTGTAATATTTCACACCTTGAAAACCAGCAGTTTGAATACTTTAAACCTTGTCCAATTCCACTTCTACTGTTGTAACCTTGTCCAATTTAGAGGCTTTGCTAAAAGTGTTATATTGTTGGAAGACAATTCCACTTACTATAACTTTGTTCACATTTAGGCAATTGGGTCTTCTCATGCTGCCTCAGAAATTTGCCAACAATGGTAATGATGTTGGCCACACCAATGGGGATCTTCATGCTGCAAACGTTGACAACAATTAAGGTTCCGACAACAATGGCGATCATGAATCGATAATATGATGGTTGTGTTTAGTTGCAAAACATGGATGTGATGGTGGTTTCTTTTGTAGAGTTGTGCTTTTGCACATTAACTAGTATGTGGCTCTAATCTGTTAGCTTTAGTTTTAGCTATAATATGACTCAATGATGCATGTTGGTACTTTACTAATCTTGACTGAGACTAGAACTGCTGAGATGAGATGTTAATGCTTTTGAATGTATTGATGTCGGATCATTTGGACATCATTTATATGTAGCCCGGATGCCATTAATGAATGTGCTGAATATTTAGATTTTTATATGTATGCTATCTATTATGTTATGATGAAATTACAGTATGGACAGTCCATATTTAATATGTTGTTGTTACTATTCTGTTTCTATTTAATTATTGTATCCAATTTGCTGCATGGTTAAGGGTTTTTTCTGTCGGTGGTCTATTATTTTCTGTGCGTTAACCGAGACCGACAGGAAAATAAAAATTTTCATATGAGTGTACCTCTACGACTCTATCGGAACGACATCGACAGAAAAATTATTTTTCTATTTTTTTTTATGTGAGGATTAAACACACAACATTTAAATTTAATTTGGGTTAACACAATTTTTCTGTGCGTGTAACACCCACAGAAAAATTATTTCTGACGGCGAACACATAGAACAATTGAATTTTTCTGTCATTATATTTCCGTGTGTATTTTTCTGATGGTACACCGTCAGAAAAATATTTTTCGACGGTATTCACATTTTTCTGTGTGTTTTCGCACACACAGAAGAATGTGAGTTTCAGTACCCACCTCTTTTATTTTGCATTTGCAATGGTAATAGCAAGAAAACTGAAGCTTGTGTATTATGGGATTTATTTACTGACCTTGGTTTATGTTCCACCGCAGCACGCTGAAACGGTGTAAATTTGGTGGACAAAAAGAATAGCCATACAAAATCGAACCATCGCAGCTTCGCAGCCGAGAAATGCAGTAGGTACTAGGTAGGATGAAAATGGTGCCGGCGAAACGGCCACGTCTCCACACTTCCGAGTTCCGACCACGAGTGGCCGTGCGTGCCCGCCCCTAGCGCGGCCAGGCCCCGGTATAGTCATCCAAAATTTGGACGTTCGCGTGCTCAGCTCGGCGGCCACCACACAAAAAGCATGCCATAACGCCGGCAACTTGAAGGCCTGCGCTCTGCCCCACTCGCGTCCGCAGCAAATCCGCGAATTTTACCAAGTTTTGCACGCATTTTTCTTGGCAGAACGGCTGCCAATTCTTACTGCCAGCAACCAGATACTCTGTTTTCATCTTGTTTTGTTCTTGTGCTCGCACGCGCTGTCTCTGACTCGTGACTTGCGAGTTCAGTTCTCTCCCGTGCATGAATTTTTTTGATGGTCTGGTACGGGGCCACGCAGTCGGCACGTCTGCCTGAAGTTGCATGGCGGAACATGCGACAAAAGCCATGTTTCTGTCACACACGAGCCAGTAGCCGGATGCCGCTGTCGTTGGTGACGTGTTCACGAATATGCAGGTCCCTAGTGGTGGATAAGTTAATAGTCATTTTCGCTTTAAGCGAAAGAGGATGATTAGTCTACAATATATGGACCACGGTAATAGTAAAGGACATGCACAGAATTGAAGCTACTGCTTTGGGCAAGCACAAGTTAATGTCCTCTGCTATTTGGATGTAAATTCAGCTCATACCCATTTCGATACATGGGTGTTCCCTATGCACGTTAATTAGTAAATTAAATAACAGGGATTGAAAAATAATTGAAGAAATATTTGAAATAAGCGGCATGTTCGTTTCGGCTTATTCGCTCGTATCTGGCTTATAATCCACGGCTTGAACAATGTTTTTCTCTCACACCAAACCAGCCAGCAGCACTTTCAGCCATGGCTTATAAGTCAATTTAGCCAAAACAAACAGGTTGAAGATTTAAACATTGGAAGCGATGTCCCTTTCACAACAAGGTGGTAGGCTAGTGCTAATAAATTTGGTCCGTGGTGGAGCCATAAGGTTTTTTTGAGCCCAAGAGATCTTCATTATGTAAAAAGTTACCTACTCCGTAATAATTTATAGTGTTTTTTTAAGATAAAGAAAATTTTCTTTTCAAGTTCACGGACAAGCCCCCGCCGGCTGCCCAGGGTGGCCGTACTTGTTCTGTCAGTGAATTTGGTCTCGTTTGGATTACTAATGTTTATGATCTTTTTTTAGGGGCCAAAGAGGTTTTAATTCTGTTTAGTTGAGTGCACAACTTATGCAGAGACTAGAAAAAAAAATATTTTTCTTTTTAAAAAAGAGGTGCTCTTATAAGTTATAATGATGATTTTAGTATTAGTTTGTGCCATTTGGACAAGTTCGCTCCTTCGGTTTCTTTGTGCAGTCTTTCCTAGATGATTTATTGGGGCTCCGGCTCCGGCTCCGGTTCCGGTTCTAGCTCCTCTTGTGGAGTAGCTTCTCTTGAAGTCATTTTAAAAAATATTATAAAAATAGCTTCAAAGGCAATTTTGTAATAATTTTGTATCATGTTCTCGAGGAGAACAAAATGGCTCCGCCTTCTGCGAACTCTTTGCAAGGAGCAGCAATAAGTCGGAGTTGGAGGCCTGCTAAAGGAGGCCTAAGCTGACAAGCCCACGAGAGATTTTGGGCCCGGAACATAATCATCGCAACTGCATGCTCCATGCTGGGCTGTACATTCGCTCAAAGAGGGGGGCATACACTAAGGGGCTGATTGGTTGTCCGAATCAGGCTATCCTTGCACCCTTTGCCTGCTTCAACTCATTTATCTGTCGTGTTTGGTTCCCCGCCTCGCACGCTTTGCCTGCTTCATTTCATTCCGCTGCCCTCCACCATCCCGCACGGCTCCGTCTTCTCAATTTCCACTTCCCTTGCGATGCAGGGCGACACGATGCACCCATGATATAAGAGTCCATGTGTCACACACTCAAAACTCTTATCCATGCATGCAACCAAACAAGATCACATCTCGTACTGGACCAACAACAAAGATAACCAAACACGACTAGATGCACGATTTAAACATGCATCTCACAATCCTGGACTATCTCCATCACCAAAGCATCCGATCACGCCCTGAGACTGAGAGTCTAAGACATACTAGCAAGATGGACTCGTCCCTATCAAGTTGAGCCCAAGTAAATTTACAGCCCGTCTCTATCTGCTGAGGTGCCCAACTTGGGTTTAAACTAGGAGCTGCCGCGCCCCCGGCTTGGTTGGCAGTTGGCACGCCCATTGGCAATGGCACCTGACCTGTGTCTGTGTGATGTGGATTGTGATGCGAGAGCGTCAGGGGTTACGTCAGGCCTGACATAATCTTCAAACCGCCCACCGGATTAGGAACCCTAAACCGCTGTTGCTGAGATTTCATAATGCAGGCGCCTCCCCAAGTGGGTAATTAGTTGTAAACAAATGCGACGCAAGATTTCGTTGTCTTCCTGCGTGCTGCTGCCACAGATGACTAAACGCTAGCTCCTAGCGTACGCCAAGTGTGCTTTTGCTAATAAAATAGGGCCTGGCCGGGCCCATTCAGTTTTTGCTAAAATAAAAGAGAGAGACTTCCTCTCTTGCTTGTGGCTGCAGTTTT